TTTAAAACGTGCGTACAAAAACTGGCGAAAGTTAACGCTTTAAATCATGAATTGTCTCACTATATATACACTATTTGCAGAGTGATGTTTTGCTGCTTAAACTCTGCTTAAGGTGCATTTTTGTCATAAGCTGTGTAATGTGAGGAAATATGGGTTTTCTGTGCAAAAGGTCATTTGACTCGGCTGGGTCAAAGAGCTGGGTCGCTGAGAACTTTCACCCACAGATTGAGACCTTTGCAGACATGAAGTCTGCAAGAGTCTGCTGGAAACCATAACATCTGAACACCTGCAGTGCCAGAAGAAGGAGTTCCCAGGAAATGTAGACATAACAAGTCTTAAAATTCCTTTTCTTGATTTTAATGTTAAAGAATAATCATTATCATTTTGCTCATTATAAATGTGTTTTAATCAAATGAATGATTATTATGCTTTGGGTAATTATAATGGATTAATGAATCCATACTTAAATAATGTTTGAGGATGTTTGTTATCGACCTTCACGCACACACACACACACACACACACAGATTCTCACAGTAAACTCCAAAACACATTTGCTGACGCACACGTTTGCTTTGAGAAGAGAAAGGCTTTTGGTAAGTTTCAGTCTTATAGTTCAGTTCGTGTTTGACAACAAAAGAGAGAGGACCTGGAAACCGAAGGGGGGACAGAGCCGGTTGGCTCGTTTCTTCCCCCCCTCACGCTGTTCCTGCCAAGCCAAACAGAATAGCTGAATCGCAACTTCTAACGCAGACTCATACAGAGTCTTTGATTTCTGAGTGAATTAACTTAATAAAGCGCATCGACAAAACGCTTTACCATCAACGTGTACCGAGGGCAACTCTGGACCGGTTCGCGGCGCATCTTTGTCTTCTTTGCCAGCCAAGGTGCCCTGGATGAAACATCATCCTAAGGTGACGTCCCGGGTCCAACAGGGGGTCCGATTTTCGGTGAGGCAGAACACGACAGATAGCGTTGATGCATCTTTTCCAACTAAACCTAAGTTTATTCAAACCATCACTTTTCACTCAGACACCTGTTTCTTCCTGAAGCAAAATCAGATGCACACACGCGTCCATAATCACATCATATCACTCTCACAACTCACAACATTCTCAATCTTCATAAATTCACCAGAAGGTCTATTTGATCAAGAACAGCATATCAACTGTTAAAGATTGTCCCACAAAGTTTCCAATGTTGATTGTTATTTCCTGTTTGTCAATTTCAAAATCATTAGTTTAATTTGAAGAATTAAAACTTTTAACTTTCAAACTTGTTTCTTCATTGAACTGAAACACAGACACACGGATATGATCGACAGTTTATCGATGAAAACAACCTTTGAGTCTTCTTACAACTATACAATTTGGTTATTAATTTAATAAAATTAATATCACAAATTATCATGTAGAATGGTTCATCTTTCATAAAAGAGCATAAACCACAACGCTACAGCTGTAATGCCATATGTTTGGTTCTGTACTTTTGAACAACTCTGTTGGTCAATAAAGGGAGAAAACGAATTTCTCCACAGTAGGACAAAGGTACATCTACCGGTAATCTTAATAAAAACAGACTGGCGCACGGCAGTGACGTCATTAAAAGCGCCGGTTAGATTAGCCGCGGCTAGTCTGTTTATGCCTAGAAATCCCAGACCAGACCCGCTCCAAACGAACAGGGGAATCATGTTAATGATTCCTAACAAAACCTTTCGACATGAAGATGTTTTGGTACAGATAATGTCTTATTTCGAGGCTGCACCATGGGTGCCCGTCCGCACCCGTTATATGGATATACACTGATGGCGATTCGCCGATGGACCTACGGTAAATACCCCGGGGAATCCAAGTAGCACCAAAGTTGTCAGCGTGAGTAAACAAACGTACCGCATGCTAGAAATTAAGTCCGGGTTGCAATAAACGGGAGTTTCCTTTAAGCACATAAGCGTGAATATACAACTACGTGTCGGACTTGGTATGCTAATTAAGCTGGGCTGTGAAGCGCCTCCCAAATTCGCTGTTTATGTTTTTGTTTATTTATTTGGCAGACAAAACTTGGATCGGAGACAACTCGCGTGGGAAATTGTAGCCATGCGGTGTCTTCTTCTTCTGTTTGTCTGGGAGGCGGAGGCTGCTTTACGGCATCTGGCTGTCGTGCGTGTCGGTGTACTTGAAGAAGGCTGTGTATAATAGTCCATAATATCGATACCACAGGGATGGAATATCTCATTTAGATACCACTTTTAGCATCGATTTATATCTAGGTATCGATTTTTTTGACAACACTAGTGTGAGTGTATGTATATATGTATATATATAGAAATAGATATCTTATAAAATTATTTCTTTCACTTTACAGGTTTTTAACAATCATGTTTTATCACTTAAAGTGAGTTAATAATGTCTTGACTGCTTTAAAGTAATGAGTGAATCAACATAATTGTTTTATTCTTGAAATTTCTTATTTCAGATCTTAGATACACCAAATGAGTCTACTTGATGATTTAATATAATGATTTATTATCAGTTATGTCACATATTAATATCAGTTTTAACAAATCACTGTTTAACATATTTACTTAACATATTCATTGAAATAAGCTGAGAAAGTGTCTGAGAAAAGGAGGTCTGAGAACTCTTTGATAATGCTTCTTAAACTTTCTTAAATCTGTTGGTCCAAACCTTACAAAGAACCCTTAAAAGGTTGTGGACTGCACTCCCAATCCAGATTACGGTGGTTTCTTTATGTCACTTAGATTTGTTTGTTTTAGTCATGTTTGAACTTTTTGATTAACTTTTATCTTATTTTTAGCATTTTAGGAAACCTGTTCGTTTTGGCTTGTTACGCACTTTGGTCAGCTCTTATGCCGTTGTAAAGTGCTTTATAAATAAAGGAACCACTTCCCATACCCGGCAGTTCAACAAGGCAGTACCAGCCTTCAAGCTAAATTACCAGCCTTTGGGTGATTAAACCAAATCTGTCAGTGGAATAATTCTAGCTGCAAGAACCATCCTTTCCCAAGATCAAACCACTATTATTTGCTAACCTGCCAGCTCCCTAAGACGTATCTCACTGACCAGCCGTGTGGATTCAGAGGAAACTACGGCCTTTGGATACATCAAAAGTCCCCTCACTTGCCCGGCAAGATGGCTTCGCTTGCCGGCTGGATCTACCGAGAACGCCTCTCACACGAGTACTGTAGCTCACACACTGGCGTTGGAGGGTTAGGGTTAAGCCTGATTCATGCTTCTCCGTCTGCGTCTGCGGAGACAAGCAATGTCCTTAAGGGCCAGCCGGAGAGCTCCGCAAGGATGGATGGAGTCAAGCTCTCTTTTCTAAACATCCGTCAGTCGAGACGGACAACGCAAGCTTGTGATTGGTCGGGGCGCCGCTGTCGTCTACAGCGCCGCCATTGCGCCCTCAAAAACATAAAGAGAGCCGAGGATAACTAGTGGCAGACACAGAGACGCTTGAAGAATACCTCGCGAAAAAACTGTAAAAATATGAACGTTTCATCCTCCCGTGACTGGAGGAGTGAAAAGATGCGCAGCAAGCGTTTTATTTGTGGACGGAAATGACAGGAAACGTGGGTTTAGAGGTGGGGAGCGCATGAAGCGGTGGGAGAATGAGAGACAAATATGTCCGTGTTAAAATGTCTCTTATATACACAAAAAACACAATATAAACACACGATCTTGGACCGGTACATGACAGGATACCACAGAACAGCGCTACGCCCTCTGCTGTCCTGGCAGGGAATTGCTTTGCAACACTCTCCAGGAGACGGAGAAGCATAAACCAGGCTTTATTAGATAACCTGTTAAACCACATTAAACAAGCATCAGAATTATTGCATAAACCCAGACATCACTTTTTTCTACAACACTTAATTAAACTCTTAATAATATCTAAGCTCATGTTTTATCAGAGGCCATTCATTGTCTCAGTTGATATTACCTTAGGTCACCATTCACAATCATGTGTCCTGCATCATCATTGGAAGTAGAAACATAATAATAAATAGATTTATAAACTATATTTTGTCTCCGTGTATTAACAGTGCTGTTTCCCTGGCGTACCCAGAGTACCTAGTTTCATCATCAATGGAATATTAAGGTTCAATAATATTGATAATCCATATTTTATGGAGTGTTAGATTTAATTGAATACCTTTATATTCTGTTGACAACTTATTAAATGTAACCAGTTACAGGTCGTTACCCCCCCCCCCCACCCCACCCCCCCCCCCCCCACACACACACACACACACACACACACACACACCCCCAGCTGGCTTGCCATTATGTAACGTTTTGTAAATGGTTACGTTGAGTTTAAAGCCTTTGGGGCAGCTTTTACATCCATGTACAGAAAACATCAGGCAGTCAGTAGTCCCGCAGAGCCGGGCCAGCGCTGAGAGCGCGTCCATCTTACTGGAGAGAGAGCGGACATTTCCCATAATCACCACGGGAACGGTTTACACCTCTGTTCCCTCCGCAGAGCTTCGTTCTGGAGACAGAACTGACCTGTCCCTGTGGAGAAGTGCGCCGCAGTGGGAGAGCTAGCATTAGCTGTGTCCACCTTAAGGGCAGTAAAACACGCAGAGTAGA